CTGTAAATTGTGCACGGAAGTAAATAATTCTAAGACCATTGGAGACCAGTAAAAGTAGACGGAAGTAGGAGATTCAGAGACCTTCGAATACCGAATCAAATCTGTTCAGGTTGTTGCAGAGCAGAGTCTGATCAATAAGCTGTAACTGACGAAACAAAGAAAAACAATTTAAGTACCTTAGAAGATCAAGTTAAGAGTTTGTCCCAACCAGAATATGGAAATGGAACAGAGAATTTAATTATATCTCGACGGAAAAATGTTCTAACGGTTGCTACCGCATAAGCCAACTCACTCCGCTTTCAATTTTACCTGTTCCCTGCACTAACCCACCACGGCAGAGTGTGTCTCCGAACCGCTAAGTAGCCGCACTTTCTGGCCAAAGAGTGTTCTAAGCCATCAAATTAACCCATCTTCACACTACACAATTCACGTCTTTAGCTCACCGCTGACGAAGCTCAAATGCTTGTCAAGCTACTTAATGGACGCGCTTAGTGTAGGTAGAACTAAAGGCAAGCGATGAAAGCATTTCACATGTAATTAGCTACTACTTGCACAAAAGAGAGCACACACATACATATATGCATATAATTGCACATACATATAAACATATGCGCAATAAAAGTCAATGGAAATACGCTTAGAGCGCTGCGCTCAAAATCGCGCTTGATTTAGATTGAATAGCTCAAAGAGTAACGGGGCAAGGGAGACGTTTATCCATGATGATAGGGGAAAGGGTGCGAATAGGAAGTCACATTGAGCGCGCAATTAAAACCTATATGAAGTGTTTAACTTGACTGGCAGGCAAATGAGCGCAACCGAGGAGTAGTTAGGAGCTGATGCTATTCATCTGTATGTGTGTATGTGTGTGTGTGTGTGTGTGTTTGCTGTCATCTAACCCATTGATGACTTGACTCATTCACACTCACTTAACCAATTGATTGCGCCAGCCAACGAACACGCACGTCGCACGTCTCAAAGACAAGCGTAAGCATTTAATTTCACATTTTAACTACTCGTGTGCTTGTGTGTGTGCGTGGACGCTGCTTGTCTTTCGGCAGCACGTGCCTCTGCTTTGCGCTTAATTATTAATGTTGAACTTTAATTTAAATTCAAACAACGCAAATCGCATTCAATTTCCATTCAATCCGACTTCAATAATATGCGCATGCATGTGTGTGTGTGTGTGTATTACCGTTAAATTCGCAATATCGCAATTGCAAAATGCAAAAGCAGCAGCGAGCAATGCATTTGATAAATAAATAAAAGCAACTCTATCTTTCATTCCCTTTTCTCACAGTGTATGTGTGTGTGTGTGTGCGTGTGTGTTTGTGTTTGTTTCTTTTTCTCTGTATGCATGTGGCTTAGAAAATGGCATTAAAAATAAAAGAAAATCGCTGTAAATAAATAAATAAATAAATAGCAGATTGAGTAAATCCATAGAAATATATGTACATATGTATACATGTGTGTGTGTGTGTGCGTACATGCGTGTATTGCATATGTAAAATTCTGCTATTCTATTTATTTATTTATATCGTTCGCTTACTCGAAATCATAGAAATGAATTGAAAGGATACGCACGTGCGCTAAGGCGACGTGACGCAAAAGTACTAACACACAAACATACACACACACGCGCCCATACGCATGCATACATATATTTATTTGCGCACCGTTACAGTGGCAAGTATCACCCTTTGCTACTACTCTTATTTTCGCTTGAAAGCTTTTCGACTGGCATGCTTTCTTGTATGATTTACTCATACTCTTACCCACTCAGCGACTGCTTGCTTGCGCCTAAATGTAGGCAACGCATATTTGCATACCACATATCCTTGTATTTCTTGTCACTCAGCAATCAGCTTTGAAAGAGTTGTTGTGGTTGTAAAATATTTTCATTTCTTTCTTCTGTCAATTTTGTGTTCGAAAATTTTATTGCATACTTTTAGGCAGCATTATTTATTTATTGTGCTTACAGAGGAGCTATTTTCGAAATTTCACTTTTTCAAAATTTCATATCTACTCAATTTTAGTTTCGATAATTATATTGCCTACTTTTAGGCAGAATAAAATATTTATTTTAGTTTCTAGAATTTAGTTGTATGCTTGTAGACAAAATAAAATATTATGCTCACGGAGAAAATTCTCAATTTTATATCTTTCCACGTTTTTAAGATTTTATCCACAAACACAAGCTAGAATTGAATTTAAAATATATTTTTAATATATCCAGATACACATATACGTATTACCACTACCCTCGCCACCAATTAACTCCCTGCCAGACACATGCATATGCACGTACATAAATATTTGAGCACCTGTACGATTTTTTATGGTCCTCTCTCTCCCTCTCTCACACGCCCTGTGAATTCTGTGCCATCAAAGGCAAAACGCTTGCCTTTGCGGCTCATATAATTTCGTGAATGACTTGTACAAGCAATCTCCACGCATTTATTGTATATCTCCTGCCTTTTATTTAGATATTTTACACTTATTTTAAATCATTTTGTTTTTTATTTTAAATTTTTTCTACTGGCAAAGTGTGACACTTGAAATTTGCAGCCACCTTATTCAAAGGAGTGAGTGAGTGAGTGGGTGCGTGAAGTGTGCTCTCTTTTTACGAGGCAATAAAAATCACTTTTATGAGCAGCTTAACCGTAATTCCACTAAGGAGTGTCTAGCAGAGAGTATTTTGGGATGAGGAATTATATACTTATGCGTTTATATATAAATAAATTATTAAATGTTTTATTTCTATATTAATAAAAATGTTTAGTAAAAATCGGAAAGTCATTTAACACACTCAAAACGAAGGATAATGCAAAAAAAAATAGTCTGCAGATCATTTTTGAGAGTAATAAGCTTGACTGCTTGAATGAGAGCATGAAGTCTATACGGTAATGGTCTAAGGTGAAATTACTTAAATTGAATAGCTTTATGGCCATAACTTCGCTGAAGATCTCTTTGAACATTTGGTAGCATCACTTGTCGAGTGTGTGTTTGCGCTAAAACACTCACTCTTATTCCTCCTTAAGACGCTATTTTAGAAGCTTATCCGTGATAATAAATAAAGAAATTTACACTAATTCATTATTTTTTAAATAAATTTAATTTAATATACTACATTTTGTAGTTTATATCATATTTTTTTATTTATTTTGTTTTGTTTTATTTTTATTATTTATATTATTTTTTTTATATTTTTTTTATTTTTTTTATTTTATTTTATTTTTTTTATTTTATTTTATTTTAGTTTTCTTTTATTTTTTTATTTAATTTTATTTTATATCATTTTAATTTATTTTTTTTTTATTTTGTTTTGCTTTATGTTTTATATTAATTTTTCTATATTATTTTATTGTATATTATATTTTAATATTTTCTTAGTTTCAATTTATTTTATTTTATTTCATTTTATTTTCCCTGTTCTCCTGAATTCCGCTGAAAGCTATAATGTCCAGCTACAGGTGTGTGTCTTCGCTAAGTGAAACACTCTTCCTCCTTGCTCTCTCTCTCTCTCTGCACTCCTCTTAAAGCATTTATTTCCACTTCAACTTCAATGACAACTTCATTTTACCTGTCACTGCTTTTCGCTCCTCTCTCTAAGGACATTAATTTTTTAACCACAACATACTCCACGAAGTGCTTTTGGCAATTTTTTCACTTCCTCAGCCACATTTTCAACTATTTGTTATTATTTTTTTTTTTTTTTTCAGCGAAATCCCAAGTTCCAGTTTTTTATGTGCACTCACACGCATATTTACGAGCCCAAGCAAGTGCGCTTCAGTGGCCGATTTGACCAATAAAATATCGTAGAGCGACGGCAGCGGCTGCGGCGACGTCTAAAAACGGTGTTTTCGTTGCGCAAACTGCTGCAAGCGGCATGTGGTATATGGACGGAGAGAACGTAGTGTGTGGTTGTGGTAGTAGCCATGGCAATCGGTCGTCATAGCCGGCTTGGAGCTTCTATGGCTGTTTTCTGCTTTGGCGTTCGCCTTTTGGCTGCGTTGCTGAATTTTTTATTATTCCTTCATTCTTTTATTGCTCGTGTTTGTGCATTTTTTAGCAGTTTCTCACACACTGTGGGGAAGAGAGATAGCCTCTCACACTATAAATTTAGTTTGCATATTGAAAAGGGCATTTGATGCATTTTTTAGTAGTAGTCGGTCAGTTTGGGGGCTCACAGCAACAGTTGTCGGCGAGGGAGGTGGAAAGAGGAAAGGCTGCACAGTTGGAAATCAGTTATATTGCACGAAGGTATAAAAAGCGTGCTGCTCTTTTTGATTTGCGGTTAGGTTATTGACACCTCGTTAGTTCAAAAATTAGTGTGATTGAGTTCAGCTTTAATTGGGTTTGATGATGGATCTACAGGCGTACTTGATGGTTCAGGAGACGGGGTATTTTCAGACTCCGATCATCTTTTCTTTGGAAGAACACGATGGTCGGAAGTGTAATGAGGGGAACTTTGCCAGATTGAAGTACAGTTGAAGATTAAGATTTAAGGAACGATTAAGCATTGGACTCAATAGTACAGGAGGTGTGGCATTTTAAGGCCTGGAAAATTCATCTATTCGAAGAATAGACAAGATTATCTGTTTATATGAGGGAACTCGAGCATTTTTTCAATCTGTCCGGCGGGACTTTTGAAGAGTGGTGACAAAAAGATTACGGAACGATCCAGTCTCGAGCTTCACGAGGCGAGCCATTTTGTGGCTTTGACAATTAAAATTTTTGAAGGAAAGGACAGTTAAATGGAATGAGTAATCTAGCGCCTTACCCGAGCGTACTGGATATGTCTTCCAAAGTAAAACTTGTTATGCACGCTCGGGAGTTGGTTATGCCTCACACGGCTCACCACCCTCCGGAGCATATTCCCAATTTACAGATCCTCACCCAAAAGACCACTTCTAGCGTACATTTTTAGTTGCTCTGGGCATGAGCTTGACTGTGCCTTGAACTATAGACGGAGCGGTTGTCAGATACAAAAACACTTTTAATTTGATTTTCACCATTTTATTGCTGAGCTGCGATTATAAAGTTTTAAGTCTGGGGTTGAGTTGAGTGAAAATATTTTTTTTCGTGCGGTTCTCCGTTCTAGGGCGCTCAATTAACTATTTCTATTTCTTTCTTACATGCCACTAAAGTATGCTGTATTCCGCTCGTTTACCGGCGCCTCCCCATGGAAAGTTTGATTCTCCCACTAACTGACGCCGGCATTTTCATTGCATCACTCAAATTCAAGACGAGACTTACTCGCCTCTGCAGTGCACAGGCACAAACCATTTCGAGCTTTATCCTCATCCTCCTTACTTGTTTCATCCCTTCTGCTCTTCTGCTCTTCCGGCGCACAACTTGGTTGGGGGCCAAAAGCAAGCGTTCCCAAGAGCTGTGCATAGAAACCCAATTTTGCCTCCAGCGCCATATCGATGAAGAAGCGCTGAAAATCCAAGCGACGTAAGCGTCGATTCCCCAGCGCATAATAGTCCATATTGGAGTTCTCAAAGCGATAGGTCATCATGATGGGATAGAATTTAGGCAACAAATCGGAGATGTGCACTTGGAACTTAACCTGCGTCATGGCTACTGGTTTGCGCTCCACCAGCGCCGTCTGCGGCTGACGCGTGAATAATGCGCTTAAGCTGTAAGTGCAGCCCTGTGGTTCCTTACACGGTACATCCCGTTCCAGATGCACCTGATAACGGGTGCTGGGCGTGAGGCGCCATAAGCTCAAATAATCGTAGACCAGCTGCACCAACTGATGCAGAGCGAATTCATCGATGCGCAACCAATCTATGCGTTTACGCGTATTCGTTTCGGTAACGGCTCGTATGCTGCTGCGACGCTCCTTCGCCGAAGTGGCAGCACCTTCGGCACCCAACAGCCAGGTACTAGCAAGTCTCAAGCGATTGTTCGGTCGCTGCTCGCACTCACGTGGATATTTGTAGAGAAAGCGTTCCGCGGGGTCGGAGGCTATCCAAGCGACAGCCTCGCCGATGGCTTTGTCCACAATCGCGCTGGCGTTCTTCACGGCTGTGTCGCTACAACTTGTCTTCTGTTGCATTTCGCTGCGTCGGTGGAGCGTTTCTGTAAGGGAAATTCGTGATTTGTGCGCGGAATGCAGAGAATTTCAAATTACACAAATAATTTCGAAGAACTATTGTTTGTACAAAAACAAAATTTTCATAATAAAAAAATCGAAAACTTTTTGGAACACAACAATTTATTTTCAACGACAATGTCAAATCACTGGAATTCGAAAACCTAATGAACGAGTTTTTTTTTTTTTCAAGAGCAACCCAGCGGAAGAGAAATAAGTGTATCGAGGGAATAGAGTTGCGGGCGGAGAGAACGGCTCTCTATAAATAAGTGTCCTTTAAGAAACTTCTCTAATTTTCTCCTTGGGGAGTCCTGTACGTCTGTTAGTTCTCGGAATACCAAGCAGGCGCATAGGAAGCCAAAAAACGGCTTGGAGTACCAACTGGCAGCAGAGGGTTTGTTCTTGAAATTCCGAGAAAAAATAGGAAAGTCATCACGCCGTTGCTCGTTTAGAAAGATCAAGTGGATAAGTGCGTGGCGTTACTTGAAGGCTCCAATTGACCTATCACCCCAGCGGCTGCTTTGTGGATACGTCTGTAGTCTCGTAAGAGAGAAGAAGAGCACTATAGGGGGAACAAAATTCGCAAGCCGCTAGGAATTGGAAAAACTATCCTCACCCATGGGAAAGCCTCTCGTTACAAATCCTCAGCAAGAGTGCTAACAAAACTAACTCCAAACACGGAATTATGTTCCCTTTACGAGCTGGAGCTTAGAGCTTTGTATGAGCCTTTGTCAGACTGAGACTACTCAATGCTACGGAGCCAAGATCTGTTGCTTTAGGAAACGAAATGTATTTCAACCAAAAAGTACATCGAGCTAGATCCATCTTCCGGTTTTTGGGAACTGCTAAAAACTCTTAAGAAAAGAAGGATTCCTCCGAAATACGAAATCTCCTCAGCAAACCACCTGCGCATTTCATCTAATCCACCTTCACTCCACTACTCCCCATCCCTCCTGCCACCCATTCATTTACGCCAAAAACCTATGTCCTTGCTTTTCCTAAGCCAGTTCAATGTACGCTTAACGTACAATGAAACCCAGCGCTGAGTATGAGTTTAACATTAAGCAGAACCAAATTTCATCAAGACAAAACGAAAACAAAAGAAAGCAACAAAGAAGAGTCAACACGAAATCCCTCAAAGTCCATGAAATGCCCCTGAGACGAGCACAAATTCAAAATTGTTCACAAAATTAATTACATTTGCTGTTTGTCCCCGATTTTGGCGCTAGAGTTGGCAGCGTTGTAGACGTTTTGATAAAGAGAATGTAGTAATTGCGATGTGGGGGCGAGGAGAAAGACAGAAGACAAGGAAAGAAATCAAAGATTCTACACAAAAAGCACAGCTGAGGATTGTGGCTGTTGAAGTCGCAAGGAATTCTCTTTATTTCGCATTTTCTTCTTATTCTTCTTCTTCCACTTTTTTATGTTCTTTTATTTACTCAACTCGTGTTGTCGCATATTTTCCCACGCCGAGTTGTGCCGAGTGCGTGTGTGCGTACGTGCGAGAGTGTGTTTGTGTCTGCCACCCAACAAATTCCAATGAAGTCAGCAGTCAGATATGTCACTCACTAACCGGTTTGGCAACAGCTTTCGCCTGACACGCCGCCTTGCAGCCGTCCGCGCGCTCGCTTAGCTCATCAGACCATCGTTCTCTTTCCCTCCAAATTCCCATGCACTGTTAGCTCATGAAATCAGCATTTCATACATTCCTCCTTCGCTTTCAGTCACTCTGTTTGTGCCCTGCGCTCCACCCTGCCCGCGCCCAACACCACATTGTTAATCTGCAATTATCGCATTTGTCTGATGTGCTGATGCGATTTGCTGCCCGATTTATCTTCCACTTCTTCGTGTTTCCTCCACTCACACAGTCCAGCATGAGGCAACGCGCTTAGGGGGCCGACCTGTCGCCTGTGATTTGACACAGCAGCCGTGAGCAGAACAACACACAATGGCAGTGGGGCTCTAGTTATTCATAATTTCAACTCCTCGCAACGCTCCTCTTTCATTAGTGCAATCAACTAGCGTCGAGTCGCAGTATGACTATTCCCAAATCGCCTTCAGCGGGCGACGCTACAGGTGAGTTTTCGTCGTAGGGGTGGTGATTGTAGGCTGGCTCTGAGGGGCCAGCCGTGTGTGTGTGTGCGCGCTTGTGGCATTTTAATTTGCTCGCGGTCTATCTGTCAACGCGATTTGGACGACTTGTGTAGTTTGTGTTTTGTTATTTGCCTTTGTGCTCGCTTCATTTGGCATTGCCAGGCTTTTTTTTTTTGGCGTTGGTCGTCCATTTCCGTTGAATCACTGCCCTATTTTTATTCCATTTTTCAATTTTCTCTGTCACTCATTAGATTTGTGTACATGTGGACGGGGGAGAAAAGTTAAAGTTGAGCAAAAATCACGGAAATTTTAGGCTAGACAAGTTTAAGAGAGATTCGCACATCCCATGACAGTGTTTCGAAAGGAGTTAATGGAACGAGGGAGCTGCCAAGAGTACGTCCTCAGTTGGCGTGAGTATTCTAGTAAGCGCACTAATGCGTTGGGTATTATATCGGGGTAATTAATCATCGGAAAACTTGGCTCCTCCACCGAAACAGAGAAGCTAGCACTCTAATTTGTTAATTTGGGTAGGGAGACAGTCCGAACATTCACTCTTGGAATGTAGGACCTCACAAGCTTGCATTTTGTCTGAACTGAAACCCGAGAAGGACCCCGAAATTACTTTCAAGTTTCAACGCATTGACGAGAAATTTCCATTCAGCCCTGACAACGTGACCATCATTCACTCTTGGCCTGCAGTACATCTTATCTCACATGCTGAGGAGCTCTCCCAGCTTTCGCAGCAGCATATTGACCATCCGAGTTTGTGGCGCCACCACGAAGAAATAAAACCCCACTCAGTCAGTGATAGGGAAGCAGATAAAGGAAGAGCTCGTCCATCGTTCGCTGAACTTGGTTGACTCAACCCAGATGCTTTTGAAAAGCGACCACCACTAAAGAGAATCTTAAGTTTAAGCCCGACTGCGAAGAAACTTCAAATTCAGCCAATGCTCACGTTACTCGCGTTAAGCATAAAAGACTTTGCAGCTCATACACAACAAAGACCGCTTAGTATTCGCTAAGTTAGGTAGTAGCCTACTCAACCACTTCCTTACCGTCCAAGAATAAGAATTCTCAGCTTTGCAAACCTAAAAAACTCTCGACCAGGCACCGCACTGCCAAACGAAGTTTCGTTCCAGTCAATCGGACAGAGGTAGCTCCCAGCAGCACTTCGACGGGATTAAGTTGAAATTATGGAAAGTCGAGGAGTGTCCAATGTCCGGTATGAGCTCTCTAAGATTACTTAGATTTAACACATTTTGCAACAGCTCCGCCAAACACTTCTACCAAGTCCACAACAAACTCGAAAAGCGTCGTTTTCATCAACTACATTGAAAGGAAATAATGAGCCTAAGCTCGGGTAACAAATTTTCGCAGGCAAACCAGCTAACGACCGCCAACGGTTGTGAGACGTGACTGAAAAAAAAATACATAGCGAAGCAACGAGCTCCAGCAAGCCTCCAGCGCAGCGGACGTGTGAAAATAGGAGTCGAGAGTTTCAATTGGTCGCAAGCCGGGGGCCTCACTTCATAGCCTGCCAGTGCCAGCAGACAAACCAACCGTACGCCGGCCAAGAACTCGGAATGTAGAGCAATATTAGCAACATTGTTGCGCAACAAAAGTTCTTGGGGTGCCCATACTGGGGCAACATTGTTGGCGCAATACCTTTTTTCTTGCATTTCAGCCATTTGTTGCTCGCTAGCTGGTTGTTCGCTGTTCGCTGTTCGCTGTTCGCTGTTCGCTGGGCGCAGCATTAACGAGGGCAATAACCCAGCGAGCATTGTTGCTTTTGTTGTTTTTATTATTGGTTTTGTTGTTGTTGTTGTTATCTTATTGTTTGCTTTTATAGCCATTTTGTGCATCTTACGGATTTATGCGTTTCACTCTTGAGTCTGCTTCCTCTTCCTTTCCATCGTTTTCTTTTTTTCTTTTTTTCTTTTTTTATTTGCCTTGTGTTTACATGCATTATGAGATTATACGCATTATTGTTGTTGTTGGTCTTGCCGCTCATCGCTGTGGGTAAACTTCCGACTGCAGCAATGCGGAATGTCAACAGCAAGCAAAACAGGAACAACAACAACAACAACAACAGCAATAATGTTCAAAGCATGCAAGTGCCATGTAAATATGTTTGTATGTATATATATATATATATATACGTGTGCGAGTGTGTGTGCGAGTGCGAAAAGAAGTGTGAAAGCGAAACAAAAATAAGCTTGACTGTTTGGTGTGGACAATAACAACAACAACAATAATAATAATAATGAAGCGAAAATGGATTTTGATGTCAGACGTCACTAACACTCGTGAAACACCTCGGCTTAAACAACGATCGAGTGAGCGAGAGACTGAGAGAAAGAAGAGAGTAAGGGTGGCAAGGGAGAGTTTCAGTTGAGTCTAGCAGAGTTTTCCCATTGAACGAGTGGTGCGATTTTTTAATGGTTTTAATCCATTTTTGTTTTTTCATTAAAGACTCTACAGGAAGTGAAGCCTCATTGGTCACGTTAGTAAACCGACCAAACCACAGATTGTAAAGGGTTTGACAAACGATCACTTATGTATGCCAACGGGCGTTGTCAGCTGCCATCTGGAAATTTTTATTCACTGGAATTGGAAGTTCTTCAAAGATTATGACCTGAGTACCACTATCTTCCACTATCAATCACCTGCTTTCCCTTAACGTAGAGGTTTTGTACCCCTCACCCCTTATCCCCATTCTGTCCAAACCAAGAGTGCAAAGAAAGTAGAGGAAAGAGCAAACGTTCTATTACCAAACCTTCAATTCCACTTTGAGCAAAAAAAAAGTCGGGAGAAGCAGCAGTCTCGCTCAGTGTAGCCAAAGCCAAGCTTCAGTCTAATCCTGGCATCTCTTCGGTCTGTAGGAACGCAGGGTAGCATCAATGTGGCGCTGTATAAGAAGCTATGACGAAAGTGGATGAAATATACCTTCGTGGCAGGCTGAAGGTAGCCTATTAGAAGGACATTTCAGTCAGGCGAGGGTATGGATATGTGGCCAACCATTGC